GTCTGTGCAAATGCGATCACGTGCAAATTGCACTTATGCCGAAGAGCGACAGAGAGAGAGAGAGAGAGATACGCCGGTAGAGATCACTTCCGTCTACGCAAACTGTTTACGTCTGCGTGGGAAGGTAAAACAGTGCAAACTTCAAAATGTCGATGCATCGGAAAGATTGTTCGGATTTTAACGCAAATTACTGGTTTGTCAGACATGTTATGAGGTCAGTCCCTCTTTTTAACAATGAAGATTATTCTAGTAAAGTATGCAGGGAGGAGTAATAATTCCGTTGATTCATCACCAAAATGAATCACAATATTCCCATCCATTTATAAACCGATATCTTCGTTGATTCTGGGTGGGCTAACTGGACTTAAAATCTAATGTAATAAATTTGATTGACTAGAAAAATGGTGCTCAGGTCACTTAATGATTCTTGGTATTCCAGCAGAATGGTTTATTCTAGAATCAATGTGAACGAAAAATAAAACATTTGGCAATGTTTAAACGAACTAAAAAAATGTAATTTACCAACAGCAGTGCATCATGGTGAAAGTAGTGATGATGTGTGACGCAGGCCACTATTCTCATTTTGCATAAGATGTTTAAAACAGACAAAATAGTTATGTTCATTGTAAGGAATCATCTGAAGTAAGCCAAGAACATAAAACCTTAATCCTGCATACTACTGAAAACCTCATATTATATCACAAACATTTTTAGCGAATATTCATTGAGATCTTTTAATACCCCATTGTACACGGATTTTCCATCTTCGACCTAACAGACAGTAGTTCATCCTGCAGACTTTACGTGAAACACACCATTTACCAACCACGGAAGCACATATGTCATGCTACCAATCCTCTACGAGGCAGATATACTAAATTCACAAGGATTTCTAATCAGGGCACAGTGATATGCTTGATCAAATACGCTAACGACTGGAAATACCCGGAGTGGCTCAGAAAATTTCAATGTGTAAGTACTATACGTGTCATGCTCCCGAAGCTTTCTACCCACGTGTTAAAGGTCATGGTTGACTGATTCCCCCGAGCCTAGTGCTTGCTTTTACCGCACACTTTGTTCTAATAAGAACTCAAATTCTATGGTAATAAGAATATATTATTTATGTTTAGAAAACGGCAAGCTGAGCCTTGCTGTTTGGGGTCACAGATCACAAGTGATTGTAGTGAGCTAGGCGGATTATCACTCCGGGCGATCGTTGGACTCGTTACCACCAAGATTGGTTACCGGAGCATTGTTCCAATATTGGAAAGTAAAGCTTACTGCAATCCTTTTTTAAACGACGCTATCTACTTCATCATAACCTTACAATGCGACCTTTGTACGGTATTTTGGTTAGTAAATTTTAGTTAGTTTACCATTCTTTTGCACATGATAACTTTGCGCTGCGTCACGTGAAAACCTCTGATCGATAATCTTGTCTAAAATTCCATCGAGAGAAGGCACGATCATGCTTTGCATGAAAAAGAGAGAAGTTCATGCATGGACAGTAACCTATAAAAACTAAACACACATCACTTAGTTTATGAGGGAAAGCATAATTTAATCTGAAAATTCAAAAGGTCCATAAAACCCTGACTAGTCAACTAGAAGAGAGAGAGGGACAGTTTGTGCTCAAGTTGGTGGTATTTGCATGACTTCAATTATCATTCTTTTTTGTTATTGTGATTACTAGGTTCATAGTGTTTTGTGGATTCACAGAACAACCATTTTAATTGTGGCAATTACATGAACTGAGGCCAGAGTACGGTTACATTAAACGCTACGTTTTCGGGTTCTTCTAATGCGTGCTGAGGAATAAGTTTAATTTTCAATAATAACTTCAAAACTATCGGTGTTTTTTAATATTTTACCAAAAATTACTACTGAAACAGCATTTGATGTTGTAGATGTTAGTTACTGTTGCTGTTTGATTTGTCTTCAAATTTTTAAAAATACCCTGAACTTTAAAATATCACACAATTTTGTCGTTGGCAACAGAAGTTCAAAAAGCCAAATCCATTCTTGATGCAGAAAGAGTTTCGCAATAGCACTGTAAAGCTTATCTTTTGTCAAATGCACTCCAACAAGCTGAACTTCACTAGACCATAAATTGTATAGATGTGAAAATTTTAACCAGATGTATTTGGCCGATAGCTCTTCTCTTCGCAAACTCTATCACTAAAACAGTTTTTGAATTTCAGGTCACACGACCTTTCACAGGCAACCAACCCCACTGGTGCCTTGACCAACAAATACTGGGCATGTGATCACATGAAACGACCCAGGGGAACATCACCGTTAGATATAAATCACCGCAACACGATGGGAACGTCGCCAATGCAATCGAATAGTAGCACATACCGACGCGAATACGAAGACTCTCTGGCGGATCTTTTGACTCGTCTTTGACCTCTTGCACACCGGACACCATGTCCAGAGCCATCTCGGCAATGAATGGAGCGTGATATTTGGTTCGTACGGGGACGCCAGAAGCGATCATATACGCGTCGCCGATGGTCTCAACCTGTAAATCAAGAGACGGANATGGTGATTACACAATAATTGGGAAAGCACAATGCGTTAAAACAAAGTGCCGGGTCAGTTTCTTATTCACCCTGGAAAAAAGAAATCAAAATTTCTCACACTTTGCAAGAGAAAAAAAGATTTAATAATAGTGAGTCATCAAGCTTTGGAAACATTATGACTTCTTAATTGGAATATGAACAAAAATTATGCAATCGTGCCGGATACGAAACACAATTTCTTGCAGTAAAACAGCATGTCGAATCACACCCCACCGTTTAGTTTGAACAAACAATAATCCTTGTAAGCAAAAATACCACTGACTTTTCCCTCTCAGGCAAGATCTGCAAGGCTTTATCGATCAACGTCACATGATCTCAGGACTGATTCCATGTGAGAAATTTCATCTGCACGTTGAAAACTTTACATGGGTAGACCGACCTTAGCGAATGCCTACCAGCGAGGAAACGTAGTCAGGTTTTTCTGAATGGAAGCAGTTAAATAAGGTGTGGTATATATCGGCCTGACGATAGCGATGTTCACATCTGCCTGCTTTTAACTTCAAGAATGGGTTTCATTTGGGCCAGTATTAATTCCAATCCATTCTCCTAAAATGATCAAATGCAAGCAACGTATTGGTGAGCGAGAGAGGGATGGTAGGAGGTTATCTCACAGGTCAATCACACGATGTCTGCTTTAAACCTCAGCGTAAACATTTCGCGTTTTCCTGCCATAAGGCCGAACATTACTGTGCAGGAAATCGCGAATGTAGGAAACTACCACGTGATCTACAGAGAAAAGTGTATCCTTATTCGTCATATCCGTCAACTGTAGAAGAAGCTCTTTTATTAGAACTTCACGTCTAACATGCGAAAATTGCAACGGATTGACAGAAAATGAATGAATCCTTGGAGACTGGTTTTGTGCTACCAGAACTGTAGCGCAAGGTTTTCTACCATGCTGATAAAAATAATTGTAGCTCTTTCTAATTTGAGGTCTTGATTGACCAAGTTCAATGCAGATGCTCCTAAAATATATGTAGGACTCTACCTATATTCTGCATCCGTGAATCACCAGTGTTCGTTTTTTCTTGTTATTTACATTCATTATTATTAATTAATTAGTGATAATATATCCTTTGGTATATAATCTTTCTTATTTCAGTGGGTTCAGATATTGATCTAATTCTCAGAGACAACGCTTTTAATTGATAATGAAACTGAGCAGTTCGTGTTAAGTTACTCGCACGGGGCTATCAAATCGGACCAAATACAATCCGTTCACTCAATGTCAAATTAATTTTGCGGTCATCTACTTCATAATTGTTTTGACCGTTTAATTCTTAAAATATCTGATGATTGAATGACAAAGTATGAAGTACGCGCCGCAAGTGAGACGGATATGGGCACCATCATTCAAGAAAACTGAAGCTGCTCACTCAGCTGCACCAAGGTGTCCAACGCAGGAGTAAAGAATGTCGGTTTGCTTAAGCGGGTCTTTGGCCGGTTTGAGTCAGTGCTTTTCTCCCGTCTACTATCAGCATACATTCGCCCACTCACAAATTATGCTGTTCATGCATGGAATTGATGGCTACAATGTAATTGCAAAGTGCTGGAGCGTCCACGAAGGATGGCCACCAAAATTATCAGGGGGTTGAATCGGTGTTTATACGCAGAGAGATTGAATCCGATGGGGTTTTATTCCAATCACTACCGGCGCAGCAGGGGAGATATGATTATGGTATACCAAATAATGCAACACCCAAGCCATCCGTGTCACCCGCTTCTGCAATTATCGTCCAACGTTCATCTTAGAGGACATCCATTCAAACTAGTGGTCTCAAAATGCCGCTTGGGATGCCGGCATCAGTCATTTGCAGGCAGTGTGTTCCATCTGGAACTTTTTCCCATCCTACGTCGTCTGTGCTCCAAGCAATGAATCTTTCAAACTGAGACTCGATGAAACACTAGCACACCTTACATTCTAACATACGTGAAGCTGCGTGCAGCAACTGAAGAAGCACGTATCACGTGACATTTTATACAAGGAATTGTATGCATAACTATTTTTTAACCACCACACAAACTTATGGGACGAGAAAAGTATAAGCTTGTAAGTTATTCCCATAATAAACCTCTGATCTTATAATTAAGAAAACTGATGAACTAGATGTCAGAAAATGGTTTTTTCCAAACATCAAAAAATAACGTTGTTTCCTTCTATAAAGTGGCCATATTCGGAAACGTTCAGTACTATTCATGACCTCCATAGAAAGGGGCGAGATCAATTACTGGCTCAGAGTTTGCCTAAGTAGATTGTGCTACCTTATGCGTGTAGATAGTGCACGAAATGCTATTAACCCTGTATCCGTTTTTCCGCTAGTTCTGATTAAAAACGCCCACAAAAATGATGAAATTTGCATGATGATAACACAACCTATTAAATGATCTTGCCTTTGGCTTTTCCAAACTGATTTGTCCTGTAAAATGTGCCTCTAAGAGTCTGAAATGCTAAGAACCCCACTCAGAGTGCTCGTAAAACAGTACAATCCGTCGCTATCCACATAAGTTGGACGAACCAATCATGCCTTAGATGTGTTTCATGATGTCCAGTTATACAGGATTCAACAAAGTCATGTATCGCGGTTAAGTTCTTTGACCTGTCATTTGTCGAAAGAAAAGACTGGTGAGAAGTTCAGGACTATCTCAGATGAAACATGGAGATTTAACTGCCTACAACGATATAGGTACTATTATTTGCAAGATTGCTCGATGTTTGTAAATTTTGTGGCCCACTCACGTCAAGCTGAATCGAATAATAAACGTCAAACTTAAGGAAAGATCTATGATTATGATAGCAGACTGATTTTACTTACTGTTTCAAATTAGGTAACAACTGTGTCGAAGTTACAGCGATTATTACACCTGGGTGTGGTTGTGCCGGCTTTACAGCAACTGTTACAAACAAAACTAAAGTTATATTTCAGAAAGATTAAATCAGTATCATAGACATATTGTTCGTCGACTTGCTTGGGTTAAGAGTAACATTAACTGATCTGTTGAGTGGAACGATATGACGTCTTATGGATCGTCTCAGGTGGCAATTCTCAAGGGAAATCGAGTAATTGCAGCTCACGTCAAAACATTCAACCTCCCAGCGATTCCAGATAATCAGCTGAAAGCAATCACTTTGAAACACGATAATCCCTTCATACAAAGAGTCTAGCTTACTAGAACGTGACTAGAATGTGACCAATGCACCGTAACTTCAAAGCCATGGGCTGTCCAGTTAACAGACCAGATGTGAACTCAATTCAAATTATCGTGGGTAAATTGACGGGGTAGCTTGACGCGAATGAATAATTATCCCATACTGTTAACGAATCAAAGATACTTAGTTCGAGCAACTGGAGTAACTTGGTAGTTCGGGTTATCCGGAAATTGATTGAAAGTATGCACCCTTGTTTTTTTCGAACGATAAATATCGGAAGTTGTTGTGTTTCTTAGTAAATAGGATATTTTTGTCATTATCCTGAGGTCGGGTTATTAGCAATTAGAACCCCCAGAGGTACAGTCTCTGGGATAAATAAGTTTATTGAAGTCAGAATACTTTTGATTCCTTTAAATTGTTTATTTTTATGAATCGTTATACCAGATTTGATCAACACCGGTGGTTTGGTTACCGAAACACACACATATATAAAGATATATATCACAACAAGACTGCAGTTTGACATGGTGTGACAGCTTGCGCACCTGCAGGACCCTGCGACCTACACAGGATGGCTTTTCAACGACACAGATCCAATCATGCCCGTAAGATCAATGGGTAGAAGCCAGTCAAAGCTCAGGTTAGCTGATTGGGAACCTCCTGGCTCTTTTTGACTATTCACTCGCGCTCTAAAGTCTTCGGAACTCATTGTGAAAACCACATTCCCCTCTGTGTAGTTATTCCTTTCAATCTAAAACAAGCCCAGATACCTGTTGTTCATGCCTCTCGTTAGACGTCACTCAGCGTTTTACCATTAAGGTAAACAAGCAGAATTTATAGGATTTTCGAAACCAGAACTCCCTTTTTCATTTAGCTGGAACTCTTGTGACATTCAGTTTAGACGTATGTTGTCTCTGCGAAACACTCTTCTAAGACCCACCTCCCTGTGTTCTCCTGATTCTACCTCATCCTCAAGCTTCGTGTATTAGGCGATTAGGCATCCGAAGCTCGCGGTATTGCAGGCGTTGGAATTGCGCTTAATGCCAAGGCTGAGCCCTCGCTCCTTGACAGGATTCCAGCCAGTAGCCGACTGTGTGCTGTACATCTTAAAGGTTTAGTACAGGTCAAGAGCTACAGAACGAAGCGTCGATTCTCATTCGTCAAATCGGTGTATGCACAGACTGATTGCCGTACATCTGATATCAAGGATGAATTCTACAACGATCTTTCTCAATTATTAGAAAAAATGTTCAACCACCGGACGTCGTTGTAATTGCAGGAGACTTCTCTGCCCAAGTGGAATACATGGACGGATCAGAAAGGCCTTTTTGGTGGTCAACATTCAACTTCAACCAACCGGACGGACAATAGAAATCACCTACATCGACTTTGTACGAATCATGAACTGTTCCTGTCAAACAATAATACCTTGCACAAGGAACGACATCGCCTTACTTGTAATCCGCCAACCTCTTCATAGTCATCGACTCAAATCGACCGTATGTCTAAATGTCTTTTTATTTCCTATTTTATTTATTAAATATACAAATGTACAGCGGACTCTGGTGCATACTCAAAAACAAAACAGTGAATTTCCTCGACTTTGGTTTCCTCGCTGGACGCCCACAGAACCTTTCCTCTTGGTGCCAAATGTGCCAAAGCGCTAAAACCCTCAAACGCTGGCTCATCAAGAGTCTCAGGAATGACCGCGAAAATTTGTTGGTAGGAGAAAATATAGAGACGGAGAAAGCAGTGGTCCTTGGCAATACCCTCACTCTTTTTCGTTTTATT